CAGTAGGGTGCAGCCGGTTGAAGGTGAGGCAGTAACTCATAGAAGATATTGCGACGTTAGAGTTCATGGGCTGGCCATTGGATCGGCTCGGATCCCACTGTCTACTGAACGGTCCACAAGCTCGCTGGCCTTGTAACCAGAAGGTCCTGGGTTTGAACCATGTCTGTGGGTTCGTACTACTAAAGGGTTCGAAACCAGGTCGAAGTTGATATCCAGTACTCCTTGCAGGCTTTCCAATGGTTCTTTAACCGATGTCAGCTCATGATGAAACGCTCCAACCAATACTTGATGGAAAACGGTTTCCCGCCCAGGTTCACAGACAAGAATCTCAAACCTAAGAAGACTTCTGAACAAGTTCAATCCGTCCCAAAAAAAATACTTCTGCCTTATCTAGAATTCAAAGGTGATATTGAAGCAGAAATCCTTCATAAAAGCATCTGAAAATCTCTGAGGAAGACATGCTTCTCCACAAGCCTACGACTAACGTTTTCCTGCAAGGAACTGTTCAGCCAGAACGCAAAAGACAAGCTGTCGCATTGGGCCACCTCAACGTGCATATACCACTTAACTTGCTCTTGTGGAGCTGAGTACATCGGCCGTACCATGCGCCAACTTGGAAAACGCGCTCGTGAACACTACTAAGCCTGGCTAGTAAAAGGAGAGCAAAAACGTGTATACAGTTCAGTGACAGAACATCTGGTCAACTCAGGACATTCAGCGCCTTTCGAAAAGTCCTTCAAAGTAATATACAAAATTCAATCAAACCTATCAAAGGGAGTCAAATCAAGACATTTGGGCATAGCTGAGGTGTTAGCTATCCAAAAACTCAAACTCACTCTTTGTATCCAAAAGAAATACGTCCAACCCCTGTCCCTGCCATGGCCATCGTAAACAGGTAAATTTTTTAATAATGACAATCTCATCGCCTTTCTTATCTAAACTTCCTGTTTATTCATGTTATTTTGAGTTTTTCTTAATCCCTGTCTACACTACCATATTTTCATATCCACACTTCCTGTTTATTTTGTCATTTTACTATTTCTACATATTTAATCCCTGATTGCATAAACAATTATTCATCATATTAGTTTTTTTATCCAAACATCCTGTATATTTTGTTATTTCTACATTTCTAACCCCCAATTGCACAATGTCAATCTTCTTAGTTATCATAATGCTACTTTGTTTGAGTTTTACCTATCCCCCTGTTTATTATGGCATTCTAATTCCTAATTGTAATTTTTATTAATTTGACCCTTAACCGGAAATTATTCTGGAACTTTCCCATCCATTTGATATAAATACACGGATGTACAGCCTAGATGATGACTTCGTCGAAAAGAAAATTTTCTTCGCCCTATCTGTCTTTTTACTGTTCCCTATGATTAAATGTGTATATTCCGTGATTATGCATAATGATTATATAAGTGAAGTAAACATCTAGGTCATGGCAGTATCTGAACCATTAACCTTCAATTCTATGATCCGGTACTCTATCATTCGCTTAACAACATAACTTGATCATCTGAAAACAGTCATCACGAGTAGCTGTCTAGCTCCGTCTAGTTACTGAATGACACGCAATTAACTATTCACTGTTATAGAAAAGCGAATATGTCATATTTTAATTCATCATTATTTTCAAGTATTAGTTTTACAGGGATTTTGTTTGACTGGTTCGAGGATTTCATCATGAGCTAACATCAGTTAAAGAACCAGGGAGTACTGAATAGCTGTTTCGTCAGCCTAGTTTGGGACTCTGCAGCAGTACACACCCGTTCCACAGAGGGTTTGAACCCAGGACCTTCTGGTTACAACGCTAGAGAGAGAGCTCTTAGACTGTTCAGCAGCCACTGAGATCAAAATTCCGCCAATTCATGACAACGGCGTGACCAATTCGCAATATCTACTTCGATGACCTACTTACTACCTCATGATGAAACCCTCGAACCAATTATTCATCATTAAACTATAGTGTGTGTTCATATTCATTACATAACATTTCATAGCGTACAGTAAGTATAGACTACTGCCAACCTCAAATGTAGGAAACTGAGTTTGAACAAATAAATGAATGCATTTTATCACCAGTAAAGCAATTAAATAAACAAAAATAATTAAACTGGTAACGAGTGAAATCCAAGTGGGTTTTGTGATTTAACCGGTGGCATGAGTAAGTATAAAATTCAAAGGTGGCTAGTTCAAACGCCGTCGCTACCTTCAAATACGCATTCATTTAGTAAATTAGCAATCTGTTAACCTAATCCTATCAAAGATAATCTCAATATGAAGTTAAGTGCTAATAAACAACATATCTAAGGACATCAAATTCACCATGAGAGAAGAAGAAGAATTAGATAAAAAAATCCCATTTTTAGATGTCTTAATCAGAAGAACCAACACAGGAGATTTAGAAATACAAGTATATAGAAAATCAACGCACACAGATCAAATACTGAACTATACTATCAATAATCCAATTACTCACTCACAAACGAAACTGTGTGCAGACATTGTTTAAAACAGTTCAAACACATTGTAGCACTCCAGAGTTGAAAAGAATGGAAGAAAAATACCTACAGACGGTCTTCAAAAAGAATGGTTATCCACAAAAAATTCATTGAAAAATGTTTAAAGTCGGATCAAAACACCAACAAAGAACCATCATCAAAGACCACAAGAAAATTCATCCTACCACATATAAGCAAAAATATCTCTGAAATAACAACTAGAATACTGAAACCGTTTGATATAGATATAGCACACAAGCCAATCATATCACTTAATTCTATATTATGCAAACCGAAAGATCCAACAGAAAAAGGAGATAAAATTAATACCATTTACAAAAAAAGTTGTATGAACTGTAACAGAAATCTCACATCGGTTTAAGTGGGCATCCCCTTCGAATCAGAATCCAAGAACACAAATCAGCCGTGAAAGGACAGGATTTGCATTCTTTAGTATCAATGCATACAGACAATTATGTTCATCAATTTGATTGGGATAATGTCAAAATCCTAGAGAGAGGAAACACCAAAAGTGCAGTCATAGAATTCCTAGAAGCCTTGTACTCAAACGAAAATGCAATTAACACACAAGTTAATATAGACATAATATACCAACTAATAAAAAGTAAATCAAGTGACCAGAAAGTTTAAAATCCAAGTCAATAGAAAATGGTCAATGCATATGTAAAGATGGTTACCAGGAGACGCAATTATATCACTCATGAAGAAATTAAAATCATTTCACTTTATGCTAAATATTGCGCTGAAGGGGTATGTTGTCCACAGTGGGGAAGACGACAGCTCCGCAACTAAACCAACCAGCTCAGAGACCAG